CGGTGACGTTGGTGAAATTCAAGGTGCCGTCGTGAAGAACCGAGATCCTCACCCGGTAGGACCCGTGAGTCATCAACGTCCCGTTGGGTGTCAACCAATTCACCGACGTCATCGCCGTCCCCGTGCGACACTTGAGCTCGGCCGCCATCCCCTCGGTGACGTTGAGATCAGCCGGTGGCTCCACGATGACCGGGGCGTAGCAGGTGAAATGTCCCGGTTCCAACTCCCCCAGGTACCGTCCCCGTAACACGGGGGGCGCGTGACACCGGGCGCAACAACTGGTGTTACTGGGAACCGTCTCCTTCAACCACCAACTCAACCAGAGGACGTCACAGTCGCATCTCCAAGGGTTGTGGTGCAGGTGGACCCGTTCCAAGCGGTGTAACGGGGCGAAGAGATCGTGGGGTAACGAGGCCAACTCGTTATGAGCCAGATTTAACTCCTCCAACGCTTTGAGATCGTCGAAGGCGTTCCTCTCCACCGCCGCCACCCGCGCGTGCATCAACCACAACTTCCTCAAACTCCCCAAACCTTGGAAGGAACCGGGACGAACCCGTCCCAGTCGATTCCCTGATAATTCCAGTTCTTCCAGTCTAACCAGTGCCGTTAAATTGGGAATCTCCTTTAAATTACACATCCCTAAATTTAAATATCTCAGATTCACCAGACCTTCGAAGGCGGCTTCGGAGATGTACTCCAGCCTCTTGAGCTCCCCCAGATCCAGGCGCCGGAGGGAGGGGACGCGGTTGAAGGCGTAGGATGGGATGCTCTCGATGGGGTTGTTCCTCAACCAGAGCTCCCGGAGCTTGGAGAGATACTCGAAGGCTTGAGTGGGGACGGTGCTCAAGCGGTTGTCAAACAACTCCAAGGTGTTCAAGTTGGGGAGACCATTAAAAGCCCCCACCTCGATTTTGCGGATGAAGTTGCGGCTGAGTTGAAGGATCTCCAAGTGGCGGAGGTGGCGGAAGGTGTCGGTGCGGATCACCTGGATGTGGTTCTCCTGGAGGTTCAGGTAACGGGTGTTGACCGAGATGCTGGTGGGAACCTCGGTGAGTTCTCGGCGGGTGCAGATGACGCGACTCGCTTGGTTGCTACAGGAACAGGTGACGGGGCAAGAGGTGGGAGCTGCTGCCAAAGCCACCGGGATGGACAAGAGGAGGAGGAGGAACAGGGGGAATGATGGTGGTGGTGATGGTGATGATGGTGGTGGT